GCAATAAAAAATAGTCCTTGCTACCGTCATGCTCGGAAAAAAATACTTCTGGACGTTGCATTTTGATGTGTTTTACTGCTTGTAAAATTTGTCGAAACGTCGTAGACGTTTTCGCCCGGATGGGCCGCGACCGCGTTAATCTCTAATTTATTTACGCTGCTCCTTCTAATTTCTCGCGCTGCTGCTAATTCCCCAATATCGCGAATTAGCGTCCAGCAAAGTTGGAAATGAGATCCGCAAGTTCCGCGCGGAGTACCGTCGAAAAGTGAGGACAGAAAAGTGTGCAAGTTGATAAGGACAAATTAATTTGCGCGCGAGCAACAATTCTCGGCTTTGTTAAATTTTAAATTTCCGAAATTACTCCGGGCCACAAGGCTGATGAGTCAGGCTTATCAGGAGCGATTCCTCTCTCCCGAATTACGGAAAGAGCATCATCACGTGCCGCAATCCCAGTGGCAGGGAGAGGGGATAATGGAGGAAGAGGCTGCTAAATATTTACCGGAAGAATATATATTCCGAGGGACAATCTCCGCCTCGTGATAAGAGTGAAGCGACCAAACACTGGCCGCTTATATTTGTCCCGAGATGCGCGCTCTAATTTCTCCTTTGCTAAGCATTCCGAGTAAATTACACTTACGGCTTTCGGCCGCTGTAAGCCCAAAAGCTGAAATGAAAAGCAGCACTCGCCCGGTATATCGCCCGCGTGGCAGCGAGCGCCTAAGGATAACGAGATGCTCGTTTACGTCTCGTGCGCGTTCGCGTTAATAACGAGAGAACAATATCCGGCTATAGACGTCTCGACGTTGAGAGATGCGAGGCTTCATTTATCTCGCCGGCAATTCGCAGAATCATGCTCATTTTTCCGTTTTTGCGAGCGATAGACGACGACGACGACGACGGCGCGCGCTGCGCAGGCGGCCAGGTAAACGAGAAAAAATACCGCCACCGCTATTTGTACCGTGCAACCACGCGCGCAGGACGCAGTAGCACCGATATAGCCTGGCATTTTTCCGCGTTTCCGCGGATCGAGCGAGCCGACGTGACGACCGTCGGCGAGGCGGCGCGCGTCGTCTTCATGAATTCGAGATCCCATTATCGGCGAAACCGTTCGCTGATAAAAAGCGGCAATTTTGTACACTTTCCTCTTTCATCTCGGGCTTCTCCTCCGTCGTTTTCCGTCGTTCGCGGATAAATTAAGGAGCCGCTTTATCTCTGTCCCTCTCTCCCTCCCCCTCTTCCTCCTTCTCTTGCGCACGTACGCGAGTCTAGTTAATGTTATTATTCCTCGCTGTTATTTCGCGACGGATCGTTATTCTTCCTTCTTTTTCTTGCACATTATTCACCGCGCGTACTCGAATCAGCGACGACGACTACGACGACGGGTCGCTTTTCGTCACTGTGGAACTTTCGCGGCGAACTATTCCCGACATTGACCTTCCCTCGGAGGTGAAACGAATGCCGGCGGTGCCGCGTGTCTTCCGCGGTAGCGATATTAATTTCCGTCCGTGCGCGCGCGCTTGTGTTTTCGGACACGCGAAATTGGCGAGGGTAATGGAGTAGCTCCCGCGAACTCCCGCGGGAGACACGCTAAAGTCAACTTGAAAGCGGGAATAAAGACCTGCCTGTCGGCGGTGTGTGGGAGCACACTTTACCTCTTCTTTCTTCTTCCCTTAATCGCGGCAAGAGCTTAAAGCGAGAAGCACACACTCTTGCATGAAGGCTTGCATAACACACGCATAAAATCCGCAAAGAAATCAATCAATTAGAATCTTTATTTCTATTGCCATGCTGGAAATCAAAGACTCTGATTGGTTCATTTTCTTATGTGTTGTGTATTATGCCTTTATGCAAAAGTGCGTGCTTCTCGCTTTATACCTACGTTCCCGCATGCGCGCGCGCGTAGAAGCTTGGCACTCGCGGAATAAAATCGGCGGGTTTGCGCACGCGAGCGTTGTTTGTTGTTAAACGCCGGCGATTTGCGCAGGGTATCGGCTCGCGGATTGGGGCCGCATCGGGATCGGCTGCGCGAGTAACACATGAGCTGATTTCCGAGCGGTAGCGCGTTAATTACACCGGTGGCTCGTGGAAGATATTAATTAACATCGAATAGAAACGCCATTTACGCACAAAGTGCGATCAAATGGACGGGCTAGGAGGCGGGGGTGAGAGGCAAGAGGCGTGAATAATCAGTCGGACGGATGCGCCGAATCCTCAAATTGCGTGCACGAGACTGAGCGGCATTCGCCGCGTAACGCGCCGCGTCGCAACGCCCGTTGTGTAACGATCGCCGGTACTTATGAATTGCAAATGCGCCATTTAATAATGCGCCGTCCGGCCGCCGGTTATCCGACCGGAGAATTAACGCGTTGAATCCGCGCTGGTCGTCGTCGACGATCACGACGTCATTCTCGCCCGACGATGCCTTCGCGTGTCGGCCGGACTCTTTCGAACGCGCATACACGCCGACCGCGAAGCGGTACTGCCGCGTGTTGCGTTTTGATTAATCGTGAAAAATAAAAACTGCCCCTAAATCAAGCGAAATCCCGATGAAGCCATCGATCATACCGCGACGCGCGCTCGGCCGACAATTAAGAGAGCTTTGTGTGCCCGGAAATGCGTTCGTCACAAGCGAGAGCGCGCGTGTCGATTTTTCTTCCCGCGCGAACGCGTGTCCCTCTTTTCCATCGAATTACTCGCGAAACGGATAGCGGGGGGGGGGAGGAATCTCGGTGTATGGAAAACGCGAGAGGAGGGTGAACAAGGGAACAACACACGTTTGTTTTGCAGCGGGAGCAACGACGCGGAACGGCGCGTCGTTTTTGCGCGTTGCCGCTGCCGCTGCCGCCGCGCCGCGGCGATTAATTACAGCGCGAGCGAATAATTAGGCGAGCAGCCAGCCGTGAGATTAGTTCTTCAATCAGCGCCGCCACGGTCTACAAATAGACGCCGGCGACAATAATAACGATATAACGACCCTACGTACGAGAACCAGGCTTAAGCGTGGGCGTCCCATCGGTCGTCCTTCGAGATCTTGGCCGGGTCGATACCGAAGGCGTCAGGATGACTGAGTCTCCTGTGCGCACGAAGATATCGTTGTTGTTTTCGTCCAGTTACGCGATGAATGTTGCGCGCTTCGGCGGAATTCGCGCTACGTCACCGTCGTCGTCGTCGTCGTCGCCGCTCCCCGACAATCCCGCGATAATCGAAGACAGACGAAGGCTGTCGGAGGAGCGCGGAAGAGCGTGCGGTTTATTAATCGCAACGATCAATCAGTCAGCGATCTGTTACATCGATGAGAATGTAAATGTCCAAACGACAGAAGGTCTCGTCTCCCGGTCTCCGGGAGAGAATTGTAATTCCGGAAAAAGACGTTCGATCGTGTTCCCGCCCAAAGCGGCTTACCGTAACAATCGTCGTGCGTACGGAGAGATCGTCGTTGCCGAGAATTTACTGACAAAGAAGACGATCAGACAGAAAAGGAGGAGGAGGATTGCCTCCAAGAGACGGGCCAGAAAATTAATTTCGTTCGGCGCGCCGTGGATCGATTGCGAAATCGTTCGACGAGAGAGATTTACGTTCTTTCTCTCTCTATCTCTCTCTCTCTCTCTCTCTCTCTCTCTCTCTCTCTCGCACTCTTCGTCTCTCTCGCACTCTAATTCCGCGACGGTGACTGGCGCCGTCGCCGAGGGTCGTTCGTCGATTTATCGCTTGACTTTTATCACTATAACGAGATCGAATGGCGGAATAAACGCTCTCATCATGCCGCGCGGAGCAGAGAAGAGCTGAACGCCGATGATAATGCGGAAGGCATGACTGAACGAAGGATCGCATTCCGGGATACGACGGGGGTTGCGACAGATCCTCCTTCCGCGCGCAATATCAGTCGAACGATTAACTCGTTGAAATTGCGACGGTTTTTTATACTCAACCGCGACGACCCGCGCGATTCCGTCGAGATTATTCTCATACCGACGCACAGTTTCACCGCCGTGGCCATTCTTCCTCGCGGGATCCTCGCCGATTTCTCTCGTTGTCTATTTTCTTGATATTTCTTGCCCCGTGGTATTGTATTTTCGCGTCCACGAGGAGCGACGGAAACATATGCAGCTGATTGGCCCATTACGAGAGCTTATTCGCTCGCTCCGATGGTAATAAGCATCCCGGATCGCGTAACCGTCTCTGCGACAGATTAGACTCGAGCAGATTGATGGACGAAATGGGATTATAGACACCTTGCGTTAACAGATTCTGCCAAGAACTGCCGCGGAAAAGCAGATGCTTTTGATTAGCATGGATAATAGCTGCTGCTCATCGGCGCTCTAGTTAGATGCTCGACGCGTTGACGGGCACCCAAGAAGCGCAGGATTAGCGCGAACTGAGAGACTCGTCACGTTGTTACTTGATGAACTCGGTGAGATGTGTCAGCGGGATCTCCTTGAAAGTATTTTTAGAAGAGGAGAAATTGACCTTATACAACTTTTTTCATCCGCTTCTACGATCGCGTCGATGAACGCACGTGCCGTCGATGTCTCTCGACTGGTATTTAGGTACCTTAGTCTTCTCTAATCCCGACTTTCCTCGCGGAGAAGAGATCAGCAGGAGCAGCTAAGGAATTCCCCTGAAATACAAACAGCTGATGTATGACCCAGCTTCCGAGTCGTATGGCGTATTCTTCGTGAACTTGTTCGTGAACGTTCGTGAACGATGTTTCGTGCACATTCTAGTTCATTTCTTTGAAGAGAAAGTTTGATCAGCTGTTTGAACTTCTCGGCGAGAAGCAACATAAGTCGTGTCAATAAGCGCTTTGTATCCGTCTGATCAACTTTTACCTCGCCTGGAATCGCGAATGTTTAGAATTTTATATCTGCGCAGCTATAACTTGTAACAACAATCACAATAACGATGAAATAATTAAGCCTCTTAGCCAACTTTAAGCCAGCTTTTGGGACTTTACCGATGACACTAACTATTTCTCTTTTTCGCGTGCTCTTTCTCTCTAGACGCCATCATCAAGGACCAAGGACAACCTGAGTACGATTACAACAAAGGACGCTTCGCCCAGCTGCAGAGGCTAGTAAAGAATAAGTTGAACTGTTGCTTACTCATCGAGGACGACGTTTCGTCCAGATCGCACCAACCACGAAATCCCGATCGCCGCCGGGAACAGAAGCCATTCAACGGAGTCTGCGTATTGCCAAACATGCCGGATGTGGACGCTTTGATAGAAGAGTTCGAGGCGAATTACACGGACGGTTCGCCAACGGCCGAGCAGAAGAGCGCGATGGCCGTCTCAAGAGCCGGGGGTATATTAGTGAAGAGAATCGTTGAGATCTACGAGACGAGAAACGGAAAAACTGACCCGTGGCCGCTGGACGGTCGACAAGCTGACGCGGAAGCGACCGTCGAGGAGAATATACGGATGTCGAAGGAGAGCAGAAGCCGTCTCTTCGGCATCGTGCCGACATCGAAGAAAACGGAACAGACGCGAGACTATGCGGAAAGGCGCGAACTCGCTGACGCGACGGCTACGACGATGACGTTGGACTCTGATTCTCGCCGAATTGGCGCGCAAGTTGAGAAAGAAGACGACAAGGACAATAACAACAACGAGACCGAGGAAAATAACGATCCGAACGACACTGAGGAAAAGTCGGAGTTGACCGCAATTTTTGTCGAGCTCCACGTTGATTCGTCTTCCCCGCAGAAGGAAAAGAAACAGACAAAGGGAAAGGACAAGGGGAAAAGTTCGAGGAGCTTGCGGAGACTATTTACCAAGTTCAATAGGAAGGGCTCGAAGCGCGTGACAAGGAGATGTCGATTGGCGTTCCCGCGGCAGGACGAGCTCTGGCACGTGAGGAGGAAGGGCCGGGTTTTCTCCGACTCCCCGTTGAACAAGGATTTCATATCGAAATGCGATGAAAAGACTCGCGCGAGTCCTCCGCGCGCCGTTGTGGGCACAGATACACGCAACAAAGAGGACCGTAACCTCTTGACGGCCGTGGAGCCGCAGGATGACTCTGGCAATAGCTACAAGAACCTGCAAATCGACATGTTCGACTTCGAGGACGAAGGACACTGCTCCGAGAATGACGACGACTCGTTGAGCTTACAGAGCATCGATCGATTCTTGCCGAGTCTCGATCAGCGAAAGAGTTTCGACGGGACCACCGAGATCGCCTGTCTTGCCAGCTCGTCCTTCGACAACGAGAAGGACGCGAGCGGCTACAATGACAATACAGAGGCAACGGAACAATCGGTCTTAGTCGACGAGTCCTCCATAGACACTTGTCTGGAGCAGTCGACCGAGCTAGAGGACGAGTACCTGAAGCCAGAAAAATCTTTGCGGAAAAGATCGTTCAAAAAAATGCTGGTTAACGCGAGGCGATACTTCGAGAAGAGCGCCGGCAAAGCGAAGTCCAACCGGCGACCTCAGCCGAACTCGTCAACCTTGAGCCCCGACTCGGGATTCGGCGAACAGTCTGTATCCGCAATTTCTCCCAGCACCTTGCTGACCTCGTCCTTCTCTTCGGAGAAGTCGGCGAGTAACCATTACTTCAGGTCGCCGTTGACCTTCAGGACCTTCCGCCCGCGAGACTCTCTTCCTCGCGACGGCATCAGCAGGTGGAAGCGTCGCCTGGTGCTGAACGAGTTCTCCCACGAGAATCTCGCGAACAAACAGGCCGAGTCTTCTCCTTATACTCCAAACGCACAGCCGGAGACCTCAAGCTGCGATCTCTCTCCTGCAAGTTCAAGTCTCTCGTTCAAGGACAGCAGCGTGGGTGCCTCGAGCTCGCCGAGATCGAGAGTTCCGTCTCCGTGGCTTTCCAAGCACTCCTACATGGCGCAGAAGATTCCTCCCATGAGCACCTTCCTCTCATTGACCAGGGTAGACGAAATAAACGAGGAGTTGGACGAGCAGCTCGACATGAGCGAGCTGCGACCTGGACACAGCGCGTCGTTGAATGTCTTGAACGGATGGACATCGTCGTCTCCGTATCCCGTCTGCGATGAGTCGAGGTAATTGCAGCATTCGTTAAGTGCTATTACATTAATATTAATAGAGGCTCTTAATCGAGGCGTTTCGCACGATAAGGGTAAATTCGCTGTCTTTCATAAAAATGATATCTGAACTTTCAGGGTTTGAAAGAGAGAGGCAAGTCTATTAGTAGGATAAGTAAATAGATAAATGAGTGGGAATAAATAGACACAATTTTGCTAAATCAGTATAAATAATATAATTGATAGAATCGAAGCGAGGATTCGGATATTTTTCTCCGAAGATTACAACATCGAGATGTAAAATAAGCATTAGTAGGATCTATTATTATTATTATTTCTATGATGAATGGCAGCTCGCTCTTGTCGTATAGAATGCCTCAATTGTTTGACAGTTATAAGCTTTAAAGTAGATAGATTACGGAACGTCTGTGTGTACATTTGCAGCAGCGCTAGATATCCAAATTCTCGGGTAATAATTCAGGTATTTGAGGTAGAAAATTAATATGTAAATTGTCGGGTAATAATTCAGACACCTGAAGTAGAAAATTGTGGACAATATCCGAGTAACATCATTTTGCCATTCGTCGTTGGTTCTCTTAGATCTGTATTAATAGTCCTTGCTTGAAATTCACCTTAAGTGAAATACTCAGATTTGAACACTCGTAATTAGATTAGATGAGTCTCTCAGCTGAATCGTAATTAAAAACGTAATATTGCATAAATATGATTCGTATGTCACTCACACAAACGATTCGCACAAAAAAGTGGAACTCCAAATTCAGATCCGAGTATCCCACGCGGGTTTCAAGTAACACCTGTTAAACGACCTTTAGCCATCGGTTTTGCGATTTCACGAGCGCGTTGCGACTTTTTCTAGTTTCCTAGAATATCGTACACACTAATTAATTAACTACTAATTACTAATTAATTATTATAACTTGATTATCCGAGTAATTTTCGCGATAATCACACACGCCCGGAGACCACCGGATATCCGGATATTGACGCCGCTGATTCGCAGGTGGAGGTCGACACCCACGCTCGCCAGTTTCGCCGAGGAATCGTCCTGCTACCTGGACGAACCGATCGTACGCGAGAAGCCGCGGATCAACCATGTTTACCTCAACGCCAAGAGAAATGTCCCGATTTACGGCATGGGCTCTTTGTCCAACATTACATCCGGCTCGTCCTGCTTCGCCACCGTAAAACCGAGGAATTGGCGACCCTACATGCGGCCGAATAGATCGCGATCGTCCGAGGAGATCGACGGCGTCAAAAGGCGCAGTTCCGTGTGAATGGCGTCCTCCCCGGCAGTACTCAGCACGCTCAGAAAGACCCGATAAGTTGATAGTAGCGCACGTTCCAGAGTCGCGATTTAATTAAACTTCACCGTTCGAACGCACCGCACCGGAGATAGCACTAATGCCTACTCTCGGTTAATTAACCCGTAGACAAATTAATTTGCCGAGAAAGTCATCGCGCCGGCGAGATCGAGGCGGCGATAAATCGGCAAAATTAGTGATCGCGCGAGGGTCTCGGGAGAATATCGAGTAACAATTGTAACATTAATTATATCTCATCGCACGTGCGTATAAATCGCGGCGCATGTAATTATTGGATATGTATATCGCCCGTTAATGAGAGACTGCGGCGGCCGCGATGTAAATCGCCTCGCTAATTTTGCCACGGAGCAATTTCGTCGCGCGAATACCGATCGAGCGAGCTCTCGCCTGAGCGACCGGTACTTTTTACAGATTAACGATCTACGGTCACCTGCGGTTAAGGGCTGCGCTCGAAGCCTGTAATTAAAGTCTGCGATCGGCGTATCTCTGCAGTAAGGTTCACGAGGAACGGTCAAGTTCAACGCACCGCACGGTAATCAATGCGGTGTCGGTGTCATCAATCGTTCCCCGCGAGTCATTATTTTACGCAAAATCCGGGACGTTCTTCCCAGCTTCGGGTCAATTCAAAGATACCGATTGACACTGGAAATGATCGAAGCTACTTCTATCGGACACGTTTGAGCTTATTTAGAAAGATGTATGTTTGATTTTACCCTCCTCTTCTCCCTCGCTCTCTCCGGCGCGTGTATTTGCCGAATGGAGAAAGGAACTTTTGACGTCGTTTGCGAACAGCTCCGCTTACCCTCTCTCGCTAAACCCGACAGCTTCGCGACGGGTAGATAACAACGCAAAAAATCTTACTCGTTTCTCGCGAAATGGCACACGAAGATTTGCCCGGTTCGGTATATCTGTACGCTGCAACGAAGGATTGCGCGAATCGCAGCAAGCGGCGATATCACGTAGCGCTTGGATGTACTCTGTATTGACGAAGATGCACTTGCCGAGTCTCTCGTATTTCTCGCGGAAATATCGAACGAGATCTCACAGTGGCGTCGAGAAGATTTATACTGAAGCAATTTTACAGCCCTTGACTGGTCGAAAGCTGTCGATATCGTTAAGCGCAGAGCAAGCCGACGTTCCACCGATGCGGCGATACATGTGCGCTTGTAATTTTGACTACACATATTAAGCAGGCGTGGAACTATCTTTTTCTTCATCCTTCTTACCTCTCACGATGATCTGCTTAATGCGTGAATTATATGTGCTTTTGCATGTGGACTGATGTACATATATATATATATATATATATATATACATACATATATCGCGCGATCATACCGCAATCACACGTTCTCGTCTCTTTATTAAACACGAACGTTGTTAGATTTCAGACACAGTCGCAGCCGCAATCGCGAGAGAGCTCCGACGCCGCCGCGCCTGCGAGTACATCCTGTGAATCCTGCAAATCCTCCTACCTTAGCCGCCGTCTTCGTCGTCCCAGTCAATCGGCCGATGTTGGTACCAAGTGCATAAATATTTCCCTAAGCCCAAATCGTTTCGTAGTTGAACGTTCCGAACGCGTCGGACTGCCGCGGCGGATCGCAATGTTTGACGTGCAAACGTTCCGCTCGCTGCCGAGTGAGAATTTACTTGTCTCGCGTACCGTGAACTGAATTACGCGTCTCGAGCCGTTTTCATAAAAATTCTACTATCTTTCAGTAAATATTTCGACTCGGTGGCTAACCGTTGATGAAAACTCGAACTTTCCGCTCTCTTCCGCGCGGGAAAATATTTATCGTTTTCACTCTTCTGCTCCTTGCTGCTCGAGACAAATAACGGTATATCTCTCGATTCGACGAGCCGAAACTGCTAATGATGATCCAAACTTTCGCCAAACTCTCTCTTACACACACACACACACACACACACACACACACACATAGATACACAGAGAAACGATGAACGTTTGCGCATATAACGATTTTCTTTGCCGATGTTTATAAACAGGATATCGCATTGCAAACTCAATACGAGCAACGTATTGGCGACAACATTGCCGACGAAAATGGAAATGTTGCCTACTTGCAACGCGACGGGACGCGAACGCCACACCACACCATGCGATTCTACGCTACTCGACGAAATCGGCGCAAATTTATGCGCGGCGGTCTGATATCAGGCGATTTGCATGAAATTCACGTGCTCAGGCACTTAGTACGGCAGCAGCCGACAACAATGATCGTTCGGTTATAGACGAGTATATATGTACGGGGAGCAAGGACGAGACAGAGAGAGAGAGAGAGAGAGAGAGAGAGAGAGAGAGAGAGAGAGAGAGAGAGAGAGAGAGAGAGAGAGAGAGAGAGAGAGAGAGAGAGAGAGAGAGAGAGAGAGAGAGAGAGAGAGAGAGAGAGAGAGAGAGAGTGGACGCGTTTGCAAGCAAAACTCTCCGTCGCATTGTTGTAATGCAGTGGAAATTGCACGTAACGATGCGACGGCGAGCGTTGTCGCCGCGCGGCGCAGGATAACCGTGGAATCCTTGGAGCAACAGCAGCTACTCCTTTCGAGAAGAAGAGTTCTCTCTCTCTCTCTCTCTCTCTTTCTCTCTCTTCCTCTTGTCTTGGAGTTTCCGTCATGCGCGACGAGGTTTACCGAGCACGAATCACGTTCGCTCTCTTAATCCTTCGACGACCCCCAACGTTTATCTTGCGAGGTACCAGAAAACGGCTCGCGAGGATTCGCTCGGTTTAAGAGGCTGAAGCGATCGATCGTCGTGATCGGCGATCTTCGATAATTGTCGGTTATCGAGTAGCCTGTCTTTATTTCTTCCTCTTTCTCTTTTATCGCAATAGAGGTGTCGCTCGCGCATGTCCCAGGAGGATGTCGCGAGGATCTGCAATATTGAAGGATGCGTGAAGGATGCAAGGTGGGTAGAGCAAATATTGATAATATGACACGCGCGTTTGAAATGATCCTTTGAATGATCTTTCGAGTTTAACGACTGTTCCCTTGAACGTTCAGGGCAAATCCGCTTCTGATGTATCAAGACGGAGTGATAATGCTTCGTGACGTAGCTGGTGGCGCTTGCGCTCTCCCGCCCACGCTCGAGGGCGACTAGTGACGTAAATACATCCATCGAAATTCGCCCACGCTCATGCTCGTGTCGGAATGTCCGAGGGCACTTTCGTCTCGATGGATTCTTCTTCTTTTTGCGGCTTCCAAAGGCTTCTGCTCCTTCTTCTTCCGCGACCGTTTCGGAATCGGATCCTGTCCATCGCGAAAATTCACTCGTTTGCTCCGTAGTGTTTTTTTTTTTTTTTTCCGCAAGATGTCAAAGTTCAGCGATAAGATTGCACGAAAATTCGAGAGCGATTTAGAAACTCGATCCTCTCCATTTTCTGGATCCACCACGGAGTTTACGGAGTTTACAGAGTTTACGGAGATAAAGGGAATTACGGTCATCTTATGCCGAGGCAGGGTGAATTTGACGAGGAATTCACGTTTCGTGACGTGCGTGTCTCTCTTTTTCATAAACGGCCTGCTTTTAAGCTCTTGGCGGACGGGAATAATGTTGAATACTCTGCTTCGCCATAAATCTTCCTGGGATTTGGGAATCCTCTTATCCGGCTTGTTTAGATCCCACGATGCCGAATGGTAATATCGGGGAGACGAGTGAACGAACTCGTTAAATCGAATTAATGTTGAGCCCTGTATGCCGTAAACCACTGCAAATTGATACAGCGAGAGCTGTCGGTAGAATATTGATGAGATTGCTTGCGACACGTCTCCGTCTTTTATCGAATTTTAATCCCGAGAACATAAAATTTCTCTCGATGCGGCTCGATGCTATGTCGGCATTGTCCCCTCTTGAAAAAATCTATATTATATAATATATATTATGTAATATTCTCATCAATTTTCTAGAATTATGTATAAAATATAATTTCAAAACATATTTTATATTTTAGAAAATATGTTTTATTGATTTTCAAGAGGGAGGACAACACTCGAAACTTATGAGACCCGTTTCGCGAACTTGCGAGGACCTTCCTCCTACAGGCGGCTTCGGAATAAAAATTCTCACAGGCCAGTCTGCCGGATCAGGATTCAATCCTCGCGATATTTTCAAACTCGGGGAAAATATCAGCGCGCTATCGCCTCCACGGCTAATAATAAATTTTTACCGTTTCGCTGCTATATCTGTACATCGCGTAAATTTCTTCGAGACGTCGCGTGCAGCGACGAGAGCATCGGGAGGAGGAATTCGCATGCATCTGCTTGGGAGAGAATAGCGGCGTGCGAGCCGACGAAAGGAGCAATTTTCCGGAGCGATGGCGTGGAAAATAGATGCAACGCAGTCGCGGTAACATTGCCGACTGTCGACGGCGATTTTCATCGCCTTTTTGCCCCCTCATTCTCGTCGCAACCGCCGTTCGCGCCTCGTAACGTTGTTCGCAAGGTGTCACCGTCGCCACTGTTCGTTTCCTCTTCTTTTTTTCTTCCTTTTCTTTTTCCGAAAAGTCGCCGGAATTGGAGTCCGAGCGCGCATTCCACGAGAACAAGACAGAGCGCACAGAACGGCGAAATATCCCGGGGGGATGGGGGAAATTTTATGTCTCGGATTCTTGGAGAGAAACGAGACGCGTCCGGCTCTTCTCGTCCGGCTGGAATCGCTTGTTATCACTAGTTGCGCGTAAGAGCCGGCGATTCTCATGTTGTCGACATGCGGAGGATAAGTGGATAGATATATAAATAGACGGATAGATAGGTATAGATGGATAAACAATAGCGTTTATTGACCATTCTAGGGCCAGCCCTTTGAGAATATACTTATATCCTTTATTTTCAGCAATGATAGTAAATTTTTACTGTATTAATAGAGAGAGAGAGAGAGGGGGAGGGGGGGTGGAGAGAGAGAAAAAAGGAGAGAATGTTGTTGAAGCAGAAGGATATTCTCGACACTTTCAGCACCGCTCCAGGATCCCACTAGCCATTTTTACCGCGCTGCGGGGATAATTTCGTTGACAGTGTCGAATCCGCGCGCGCCTGCTGATACAAAACGGCGCGGCGGCTCGCCTTTTGCAGCCGCGAGCTAGATAGCCCGCTTCTCCGTCGGAGCTTTCCGAGCTTAAACTAATAAAATTTACATCAAAGTGGAATCTACATAAATCTCGCCGACGTGGGATCCAGCCCGGGTGTGTGTGTGTGTGTGTGTGTATAGCTCGAAATGGAGCTCAGCTCTTGAACGTTGCGCGTTTTCGATAGCGTCGAGTCATTCTCGCCGTTCTTTTTCGCGACAAAACGTGTATCAGCCGGCGAAAACGCCGTCGCGACGCGTTTATCCGCGCGTGAGTCCGTCTGATACTTTAATTCTGCCTGACGTGAAAATTATCGTGACTCCCGTCGCGATTCGCAACGCGAACCGTAAAATATTCACAATAAACTTACGCACCAAGCTGAAAGACTAGAGAAAGAAAAGATCGGTTTCCCGGGTTTTGCTTATTCCCCCGGACGTCCTTCTCCGTGAGGGAGTTCACGAAATATTTCTCGTGTCACTGCATCAGACTGCATTCGCTTTTTCCTCGCGCCCCGTCTCGTCGCGCCTACATCGACGAGGTCTGCGAAAATTCATAACTACGTGACAAGAGTCCGCAAACTGCAAAGCTTCCTAGATTCGGGCTTACCGAACTTTATGCAACGTCTTTTAGGGATTTTAATATTTCAGCAGCTTCTCCCTCCCCCTTCTCATTCCTCCGATCCATCTTCGTGATCTAACGTCTAACGTGTCATCTGTAGTCGCCCGAGGGAATAGGCGAATGCATATGTTCGATGAGTAAGAGAGTTATACGACGAATAAGTTGCCGGAGTTACCGATAAATAGGCCGACGGTGCGCGGACCGTCGCGGAAGGGGCGAGGAAGGGGGGAAGGAGGAGAAGCGGAGCGGAGATAGAGGAAAAGTTGTCGAAATCGGAAATTCCAAACATCGCGGCGACCCTGTTCGCTTTTAACGCTCCCATAGCGCCAGTCCCCCAGTCATTTATCAACGTCCGGACCTTCCGCCGTTCGAAAGCAGCGCACGTCGATCGGCGGCGCGTCTTTTCGCGCGGTACGCGCGCTGATAGCACAGTGGAGCTGCTTCCCTTCCACGGCGACCGCGGCGTGCTGTTCTCGACGTAAACTAATAAAATATGTCGGTAACAGGGGAGAAGCCGGCGACACCGAGTCGCTCCGCGCGGATCGAGCCGGCCGATCGTAAGCTCGTGAAACTCTCTTTTACGATTCGCGGTTTACGTTATGTAGCGGAGGAACGAACGTTTCACGCCGTTATGCGCTGCAGGGGAGGAGGGCGAGGAAGAGGTCGTTCGCGTGAGACTTTCAACAGTCGTAATAACGCGATACTGCGACGGTATTTGCTCCTTGGCTTCTTTCTTTTGCTTCTTTTTTACGACGTTACCGAAGGCGAAGAGGATGCACAAAGGCGGGCGGACGGGCATCATCCTTGATATAATTCGATAAATAAGAAAGAAACGAAACGCGCGCGCAACGTCGTATACGACACGCGTAAAGAATGCACGCTTAAAAGTCTTGGGGAACATTCGGTTTTATTGAACGACTTTGACGGCCTTCGTCGAATTTCAAGCGCGAGACGTGATGCGCAATCCGGGAAATGACGAACGTCTTACCGCGATTGTCTCATCGTAAACTTCCCCCAGGGTGTCTACTAATGTGCAACCCCGAAGTATCCCCGAAGGTCGCTCATGAACGATCCTTGGATTATCGCGTGGGCACTTGCGTGAAACGCTCTGTGTTTTTCCAAGACACGGAGTTTGCGTTTCGCGACAACCGTCGAATATTGATTATGATAATTACATGTCAGCGGCATCGTCGGTGTAGCGTAAATTGAACCCGATACGTCTTGTTTAAAGGAAACTTCCGTGAGACGATAAAGTGAACGTGAGGAAGCGAGAAAGAGAGGGAGAGAGAGAGAGAGAGAGAGAGGGGGGGAGTAGAGGAGAAGAGAGGGGCAGGGTAACTTGTACGAAATGTTTTTTCTCTTACGTAAAAGAACAGTGAATATTTTATCTCTCGTCTTCCACTTCAGTCTCCGTCCCGATCTCGTCGCGTTCCATCTTTCTCTGTTTAATTCAAAAGAAACAACGATTACTTTGTACATACACACATACGATCATCCGGTATATATGTGTCTCGAAAGCCGTAAGCCAGGTGACCGCGTAGCGAAATTGTATTAAAGAATTTTCCCGTCCGATGGCTAAATCGATGATAAATCCCGCGCGCAAGATTGAACAAGCTTGCACCGAACGAGGCTGCGCCGTCGTCCGATCGTCGTAGCATGTTTTGTAATTTATGAAATTGTTAATTTTCTTCGCGTCAGCTTGGAACACGACGTTGATAGCGAAGACGGACGCTTCCGATAACTTATAATAAATCTCGTGAAAACGCGTACGCGGTCTGCAGGAGGCGAGGTATAATTTGCACGCGAAATCATCGGTTCCTCAATTATCCAGCAACTCGTGAATTACGGGAACTCGCGCGAATATAAATTTATACAAATGTTTTATATTGCGCATAGAAACTTGTTCACGGGAATGGAAACGTAGGAATTTGTAATCTAATGAATTATTTTCTTTTTTTGCGAGATTCGTCTATTCAATGACGATTTCTGTACCGACGTAGTCGCGCGCCGCTTTCAAAGTGCAGCGTTCGCACGATAAGAGGCGGCTCCTTTGGAACACTGACTTTAAAAGAAGCTACTGTAATCAGTGACGGACACAATTCGCATGCAAATTCGCAGCTGCGCGCATCCTCGGCCGCCGGCGCCGCTCTCGGTCCCACTACCGGTCGGCGGAAAGTAGTTTAAAGCGGATGTAGTCCGGCGTGAGGAATACGTTCTCGAGAAACTATCGGAAACCGGTGAATTCGAGCGAACAGACGTGCGATCGGATATGAAATTTTCAAGCTTACGACGTGTGAGAGAAGATGATGTTTGCCGACAATTAGACGCGTTAATTGTCGGATTAATTGCCAAGCCATCTTCCCGTTATTTTTAGGCGCACGTGGTATGGGAGAGAATTTTTTCTCACCAGCCGTAACAGAAGGATATGAAACTCGCTCAGTTTTTGCATCTAATATTTATTTCACCGTGAAGTCAAACGAGATTTATCATGATTAATGTGTCGTACGTACGCAAACAATATTCAGCCGTCGCAATTTCAACCTATACATATTTGACTGGCCAATATTATACGAAGGATCATCGATGCAAAGCCGACATTTTGCATGCATCGACTCGATGGAATACGCGCTCGAAATTTACAGTCGCCAAACGCGGAACTACCTTACGACTCTGTCTCTCCCTCTCTCTCCTTCTCTTTCTCTCCCTCTCCCTCTCTCTCTCTCTCTCTCTCTCTCTCTCTCTCTCTCTCTCTCTCTCTCGCTTTTATTTCCGAGGCAGTCTCAGTCCGGAAATTGCAACAATATCACTAGGTACGTGGTCAGCAAGGCTACGATCTGAAAGCAATATTTTAGTCCGCGTAAAAGTCGAAGAAGGTACACAACGAGTAAAAGGCAAAATCATAGAATGAATCGTATCGTGTGTCGCGATATGATGCGAGATGATATGCTGTGATATTAATGTAATATATGACATGTGATGCAGATAATAAGAGATTATAAGAGATAGTAAGAGAATTTTACTCCTCTTACACACGCGCGAGAAGCATCAAGCTCGTCATGTGAATTAACAAACAGCATTGCAATAATATCATATCGTATCTCATGTTATGTTATGTCATGTCATGCCACGTCACGTCATATTTCATCATCTACATACACACAGCGAATTGTTAACTTTCGTTGGTCACCGGTGACCCAGCGAGACACACGTGCAAACGTCCGCAAGCCGGTCGTCGAGTGCGTGCGGGAAGGCGTTAATTCACGACAATACTCGGCCGCACGAGCGAAGTGCGAGCGTGGGAATTATTGCGGGTATCTTAAGAGAGAGGATCTCGAGAGGATTCTCCTCTCTCCTTCCGAGTGTGCAACTACACAACGAGTCGTAAAGTTTCGCCCGAGTACCAAGCGGCGGCTATCGCGCATTGATCCTGTTACTCGCGTAAGAACTTTCGTGTCCAGTTTGTCCGGCAAGGTGAAGGCGGGAGGGGATCGCGGTGTCGTTTCCGCGATTTACGGGCGCGTTTAAGCCGGCGTTTAAGTACGGCGCCACAGAATTCACCGCGGGATATCGAACCGCGGCCAATTAACCTTCGTCATGTCGGAAGCAGCGCGTCGAGCCGAACGCGACCGATGTCAGTTTTGACGTAGAGAAGGCGCCGCACGTGTGTCGTCCGCCGACGTGGAACGATCGAGAGCGAGAGAACCAGCCTTGCTTTACGAATCAAGCGGTAATTGATAACATCGCGATATCGACGAAAGCACTTTCGCGCACGAGTCACTCTCGGGAACGTTCTGTTTTTTCTTTCTCGGGAACTTTACAAATTGCGATAACAATGTTAAGGTAACAAGGGGATATATTTAACGAAGCTCGCTATCTCGTCGAGCGGTACTTTTGACCCTCGTAACACGCGTTTCCCACTCCAATTATCACGATTGACCCGCCGACACGTCGGGCAAACGGGATCGCTCGTTCCTCTTTAAGTTGTAGCGCCATCGTCGTCGTCGTGATAACGTCGCGATAAGCAACGTGTTTAATTTTCCACGAGAAACAATCTAGATAATTCAGCGATTCTGCAATTTTGACGCGATGGATTTTATCTATTTATATCTCAACGGCTCTGTCGCGAGCCTTCAGTGACGCACGTGATGTTCTCGTCGTGATGAGGTACCTTCATCTTTTAACACGTACGCGTGTAACTTTGCGTACCCGATATGTGACTTTAAACCGACGAATAAAGCCGGGAGCAGATAAATAAGGAAACTTAAACAATAAGACGGTAAGCATCAAAGAAATTGATTGATCACTAGTTGATTATTCCTAGACTGGAAGAAAAGTAAGTCGGCTGTGGTTGGTCAATTCGCTTGGATTTTATTGCTTACGTTTTCTTATGTTTCCCCCGGCTTTAGGCTCACGGCGCAAAAAAAAGAGTAAGCGGTGAACAAATAGAGTGACTGTAGAGTCGATTATTTTCCCTCAGTCGATTATTATTCCTGAAATAATCAACTGCGATCAGTCGATTTGTTTTGTGTGTTCCATGCAGTTTAGAATTCCGTCGTTACAGAACAACGACGAGCTGCAAAATCGATATTGTTGATACATGCCAATTGCCCCGCGATTTAATAGAAATTATTAGATATTGTATATTTAAATAATTTTTAAATATTATACAAGGACATGTAATCATACATATATAAGAATGAGGATGTGGAAAACGGAAACTCGGATGTATAAAATGCCAACGCGGCGCCTCTCGCGTCGATCTCGTTACTTACTGATCGTAACAACCGCAAATTCACGTGGAAGCATCCGGCCGCGGAGAACTTGAACTTTCGATTTAGATATTGCAACGTCGAGTCGACGCATTCCTGAATTAGAGAGAAAGTTTTTATGCGCATTGCTGTCGTGCCAAACCGGTCGCTTACACGTATACATGTGTCGAGGGGACGATCAAAAAGTGACATGGAACTAAAAAGGTTGTCGTTATCGGGGAAACTTTGTACTTGAAGCAAAGGAGCTTCATATTTGCGGGCAAAAGCGGAAAGTCCGATGAGGGGTATGTTGCATTAGTGGACAATCTGGCGTGACTTCTGCCGAGAGAAACACGCCGGATGTAATTAGACTTTCATTTACTCACTTCGTTTCGCCTCATCAATCTTACGTGCCACTCGATGAGAATCGGGCCCATAGAATTAGCCTAGAAAACACACACGAACAGCATTTCTGCCTTATTTATATATGAAACAAGAAAGCATTACGCAAAGTATGCTGATTTATACATATCTGCCGTAATGTCGTACGTACAATTGCACCTACAATTGACTGCGATTCAATTTTTCCCGCGCTGATTACAGACTCTCGTCGTGATCGCGCGTTGTTATCTTAATAATATCCCTCTTATCGCGAAAGACGATCCTAATTGAGGCAAAGGGAAGTGACTTTGCGTCGCCTCTTTGCATTAGCCGGAGAGTGTCTTACCTGAGAGGAGACGAAGTCGCAGGCGATGTGGAGTAACAAGAGCTGGATGAAGAATGCCAAGAGCCAGGCGCTCAAGCAACGAACCAGTGGCCACGCCACCATCTGCCACGACGCCATGAGTATCCACTCGATGATAAAATATATGTTGCTGACGGTGTGCACGCCGAGATTGCCGAGCCAGAACAGCAACGACCACGAGTACAGGGATTCCAGATTTTCCGCGGCGAGCATCAGATCGTTGTGTAGACTTTGGATCGTCTTTCGTGCATGTAAGAATTTCGTGTGAAGTTAGATAAGGTAAATCAGTTTCTCAGGCAATGTGAGCAGGTATTTTTAATTGGGAAAAATGTTGATTGGTCGAATCGAAAGGTTACTGACGGTTCCATATTATATTAATATTCTTTATTCCAATCTTCCTTGTTTTATAAAATCCCATGCATATTTCGAGAGAAGTGCATATTGTGCATTATTATTCCGCATAATTTTTAATTTTCAAGAGAACCAAAAAACAGGAAAAGTCTGAAAGTGCTTCTCATCTATTCGTATGAGCCCTAGGCACATTGTAAGGAAGACTAATGTATGTGAGACATTTTTTACAAATCTTTTCTCGCACATTTAGAGTTTGCAACAATGCCTTGAAGCTGGTTTCATGTATTTTATTACGAGAGAGGATATTTTTAAAATCTTTTTTGCGAGAAGAAATTTTACGCAGTGGTTATTTATATTTGCCATATTTGAGAAAAGTCCCGATTTCTTAAAATTTTAATTATTTTTACGATCTTGAAATTTGTATAAAGACAAAATTGAAGAAGAATCTTACGTCAAATTCAATTCTATATCGAATTCTGATATCGCTTTGTTGGGGTACGAGATGTAGACGTTGCGCTGTAAGTAGTAGCGGATACGTTACGTCAGCCCGTTCGTACGCTCGTACCTCAGCGGATACGAAACGTCTGTATCTACTCACAGAGCGCCGCGCCTAGCGAGACCGCGCATAAGCGGGCCTGACGTAGCGCGTCTGTAACCACTTACAGAGCGACTTTCAATACCTATGTCTCTAAAACGTGACTTCAGAAAATAATGTTATCATACACGATTAAATTTGTCAGGGACTTCTCTTTAACTTTTATCTTTACAAAAATCCTTTAAATCTGTAAAAATAATAATAAATAAAAATATGCTGAAAAACAATATTTTTATCAATTCTGCGTATGTAGAAGAGTAAAATATTTTAAATGCCATAAAAATTCTCCGTCTTGTGTATCTTTTTTGAAGTTTCACGATTTCAAAGATATTCGCTCAGAATTAGATACATGGAACTAGCTTCGAGAAGTCCCTAGTCTGCGACCACTAGTCGCAGAGAGCGCGAGAAAGCACTTATAAGAAAATGCTTGCCCCCCTCATTTTTTACTTGGCTGTACGATACCCCCAAAGCTGATCGAAATCCTCGGACCAGAAGACTACTAATTTCAATAATTCCAACCTTTCTGCTGACGTGCGTAGTTTTCTCTCGGGGCGACGGAGACGGGAGATTTTTTATCGCGATCTTGTTGAGATGATGAAACCGTTGCCCGAGAAAATATGCCATTCCCACGAATTTATAGACAGCCATCGAAGTGCCGATGTAGGATAACATGTATCCGATATTGTAGGACCACGTTTCGAGAAAAGCGTACATCCCGGAGCGATTGACGATGGTCCACACAGTCGCTGTCACGATAGTGAGGATCCACGCGGCAATCGCGGTCCTCGTCTCCTTGCGAGGATAGTCCAACTGCCTGACGTCCTCGTCGTAGTCCTGCAGGGCGTTCCATATCCTCGTGAAGTTGCGCCTCGTGAAAAGCGTCAGCACCAGCTCGTACATCACCACGCTGTAGTTGATGATCACCTGAACGATCGTTTCAGGCATCATCTTGATCAACTTGAAATAATCGATAACATTAATCGAGATATGATCCTATCCCTGACTTTTACACAGAGAGAACGCTTAAAAATCCCGTCGTCCGCGAATGCAACTCTGACTCTCCGCAAAAATGTTCTTTTCTCTTTCTCCCCGCTTCTTCGCTCTTTGCCGGAATTCTGCCGCGAGCTATAATCTACGTCGAGAAAAAATTGACGCCGCGATAATTTCCCCTTCGCGACACTTCCGCGCGGCTGAATGAATAATAAATTCTCGCGCCGTCTACTTTCTCTCTCTCTCTCTCTCTCTCTTTCTCAGCTCTACCACCCCAAGAATTTTCTTTCGCTCACCACCGACCTTCGCGTTCTCCGTCCCGCTCAGGACCGTGAGTTCCCGCTTGACGCCCGTAAATCGCAGGAACACCACGTACAGAATGTAGCTGTAGAGCGCGACGGCGACCGCCGAAAAGATAAGGTAGCCGTTGGACGGTACCAGCCGGTCATGCGAGAACTCGTAAGGAGCAAAGCCGAACACTCGCACCACGTACACCATCGGCCAGATGGACGCGTAGAGAGGTGAGTTCGAGCCGCGTGGCTTCTTCGCGCGCTTCCTGTTGGTCTTCACGAAGACGGTCTTCACATCGAAGGGACGTGTTCGGAACTCCATGTTCGACGAGACGGCGAGATCAAGCGGCGGATCTTCGAGGACGCTCCGTCGGATCAAGTAACCCTGGCGGACATGAGCCTCTCTGCCCGACGTTCGATTCGCGCTAATGTGAGTGTATGCGAAATCCGCACCTGTCTACAGAATTATCGGATAACGCGATCGTTCGCTCTCGAGGAGTGCCTGGGGAGCGCAAGAAAGAAATGAAAACGTGCCCCGCGAAAGCGGCTTGTTTTACGTGGCTTCTTGTTGAATAGCCGGGTCGTTAAAGATTATTAAGATTAACGCGCTCGTGCTGAATTGCAGCGTGGTAAAACGTAACTGAACGGCGCGAGAACCGAAGAATCCTCGTGCGACTCGCGGATCGCGCGCATCGATAATGCGACTGCGAAATCGCGACTCAGATCGCGAATGTGTCGGGACGTTTGATCAGGGTTGATCAATGTCCACTTCTCTTTCTTTATTTTTCTCTTTCTGCTCCGTCGTCCTCTCTCTGTCTCCCCCCTCAATGTCGCAATTTTGCCGCATATTTTCTGGCGTACGTGCCGACCCGTAATTTGTTAAAGTCAATCAACATCACGTACGCGGCGCGCAAGGCTGCAATTGCACGAGGTGGTCGATGATATGGCAGCCCAATCAAGTTCATCTTCAATTTCGCGAGTAAATATTGAATCCGCGCCGAAGAAAGAAGGACCACTGTTGGTGCTTTCGCTTGAGCGTCCCGGAAATCACCGGACGATGTTCATCGATCAATCGCATTGTCCTAGAAAAACGTGAAAGGCAAAGAGAAACACACACACACACACACACATACACACGTACAGTTGCGATACACACGGAGCCACGATAAAAATAAATAAAAATCGCGAGCGGCGCGCGAAACATAGGAGGCATTACGTGAGAAAAGAAATCGCGGAGCGGTAAAAGCGGAAACAACGGAGAGGGCGCCGAGTGCGAGGTCTCCTATTTCTTTTTAACGGATAATACAGTACCCCGGGCGCGATAAAACGAAGCTATTTCGCGACGGACTATTACATTGAAAAAGTCTGAGCACTTCTCTACTTAGTATTCCACGAGTCGGCCGAATTTCAGCGGTGTGGCCTCGGGCGGTCGTCCCCCGAACTATTGTAAAACCCGAAACTTTCTTCGCGCCAACTCGATATCGATTTTTTATTCTCGGCAAGGACACCCTCATCCCTTCTCTCTCTCTCTCTCTCTCTCTCTCTCTCTCTCTCTCTCTCTCTCTCTCATTCTGAATCTAGAAAATACAGATCGCAGCAATTGAAGGAAATAGAAGGAGGTAATAGAGAAATTAAAAATTTCCTGATCGGAATCCGCGCCGCAGAAAGGGCTTCGGAATCGGGATAACGGATTCCAATGCGACGTAGGGGCTGATAAAGAACGCGTCAGCGCGGAGATACACATCGCGGGTCGTTTATTTCTGTAGGTCGACGCTGTGTACGCGCGACTATTTACAGTGAAGACGCGTTCGCATCGCGTGATGAGTCGCAATTAGAGAGTCCCGGATACGTTTCGAAGCGGACTCGGCGTACTCACGTCACGGCTCGGCCTGAGGCCCTCCGGGCGTATCGGCTGTCTCGAGGACGATGTTACGAGAACTGCGAGGATTCAGCGGCCGCGAGTTTTACTGCGCGAGCTTCCGCGCCACGCGATGAAAGCGGATTACAGCCGCTCTCTCACGTAAACACATCCACACCGCGAATGCAGTATACGCGCGCGCGTGTGTGTGTGTGTGTGTATGTATATGTTTATGTGTGTATACTGAGCGGCCGGAGTGACATGTGGGGCACGTGGTGCTGTTCGCGCGAATGCCCCACTGCCATTAAATATTATTCCACATCGGGCCGATGAATTATTGAGCGTGCGGCGAAGAATAACACGCCGGAGACAGCTGGTCGAAGTGGATGCGCCCGCAGATAGCTCCGCGATTGTATTGCACTCGTTCTCTTCCTCCCTTTCACCTTCATCTTCCACTCCTCACGCTCGCATTCAGGCCGCCGCATGATTTTATTACGCGCGTTCCTGACCTACCCTCGTGAGGAATATCTCTTCCGCGACGTGTTCCATTCGACGCCTTTGATTTCCATGGGAAGCGTTGAGCATGAAGAATGATAGAGGCATGTCTGCATATTTTTAAACGCGATGCGTAATAAGATGCGACGGGTATATTGTTTTTATTATTGTATTATTTCGTATCAGGCATGCGAGAGAGTTTTTGTCGTCCTTTTCAATCAACAGCCACCATTTTCTGCCATATTTCTGCACACTGGCTCTCTCTCTCTCTCTCTCTCTCTCTCTCTCTCTCTCTCTGTGTGTGTGTGTGTGTGTGTGTGTGTATGATAACACGTTTCTCAAGCCGATAAAATTATCATTGATTCGACGTAACTTTTGTAAGCTCTCGTAGCTTATTTAAAGTATAATATATTTATATAATTTTGAATTATATCTACGTATATTCTTTTATTACAGTTTACTAGAGAATATTTTACATGTTATTATCCCTGCTATGATAAACTTGCAGCACGCATTATTTTTGTACAACTCAATTATAACGTATATAAAAATATCGTGCTGGTGCACGACTTTTAATCGCCGAATAATATCGTCGAGCTGCGCTCCGGTTTAATAATAGGAAACAACGATTAATGTAACAAAATGTATTTCACCGCAGCCGGAGAATACTGAAATACTAATTGAGTCATATATATAATGTGCAAATCGCAGCACGCGGACTAAAATAATAATCAAATAATAATACTCATCGTAGGCGAGCATCGGAAGAGCGCCGAATGTGGACGATCCTGAGTGCGTGCACTCGGACGTGCACTCGAATAAATAGCGCCATATTAAATGAGAATCTAGGGGTGCGAAACTATCTCGTCCGGACGACGCCCCGGAGAAATGTAATTTAAGCGATACTCGTCGTCGAGCACTCGAAACAACGGCAGGAACGAAACGTATTCTCATATTTTCTCGTCGGGAGGCAGAGACGAGGAGGGAGAGGGAGAGAAAAAGAAAGAAAGAGGGGGAGAGAGAGAGAGAGAGAGAGAGACAAAGAGACAGAGAGACAGAGTGACGAGACCACATGCCGGCCTCCAAAGTGACGCAAACAACGCGAATAACTTCGGAGCGCGGATTCGTCCGTCCGTCGTAATGCGTCGTCCGCTCGTCGCTCATGCAAAACTTATTTAGATATATATACCTGGTATTTAGGTCTGAAAATTACATCTTGATATTTGCATATTCATTTGGATTTCGTCGTTGTCAGACGGCGCTTGAATAACGAAAAGAGCAATTAACGGTTTTAATATGAACAACGCGACCGGAAAAGTGGCGACAGAGAAGCGCGATGAATTTTTATTAACGACTGAGAAAGAATTTCAAGAGACGTTCAAAAAGAGATTCTTACATGGAACAGATGTGTCTGATTATTAATTTGAAATTAACAGCCAGAAAGATTGCGAAGATGTTTAACGTCGAGATTATTCTCTCTCTCTCTCTCTCTCTCTCTCTCTCTCTCTCTCTCTCTCTCTCTCTCTCTCTCTCTCTCTCTCTCTCTTTCTCTCTCAACGCAGAGTTTGCATCACTTGCTTCTTGTACCTCTCGTCGGATTTTCGTTTCTGCAAGAAGGATCAGTGGGGAAAAGGAAAAAAGTGGAGGATGCCAGTGACCAGAACACGCAGCGTGAAAAAGAGCGCTTTTAAAGACAATGCTGTGGTCAGTGCCGACGACGAACGCCACCACCACCGCCACCGCCGCCACCACGACGTCGCCGCTCTCATTCCTCGCATAATTAGACGACGAGAGGGACGAAGAACGTGGCGACGTGGCTCGAATATCTGCCAGATATAGTCAACGTTATTAAGAATTAGAAGTCGTGCGAGAGACGAACACGAGCACGTGTGTGCGTGTCGATGAACTCGAGGCGACGCGATAAAAATATTCGCGCTCGCCGTGATATTCACATTGCGTTCTCTCGACAAAAGATGCTAAAAAATATTGTCTGAGGCCTTAGGGAATATTTTTCAGTAGCACACTGTCTATTTCAATACATATAAGTTTCTATAGAATATAAATATTATAGAATATAAATTATAGAATATAAATATAATATAATATATATATATATAATATATATAAAATTCATTAGAAGTTAAATTCTGCTGTATAAATCCAGAAACGAAGTTTTAACAAATCCTCGAATAATTAACAAAGTCAATCAATTTCAGGCGAGAGGAATAAATGATGAGTGGAATGAAAGGCAAGGCAAGTCGAGCAAAAATTTTTCGCGACTTGCAATATCGATCGCCACGTTTTTTCTCTTGTTTTTTTAATATCGACGTCGCGCGCATGCCGTCGCCAATTCGGTGTGGTGGATTAAATAAGACGACGGGTTAAGGTGAGGAGATTTTCCATGTTCCACATTGTTTAAGCTCCCCAAGATAAACGTTTGCATGCCAAAGTTACCCTCCGTCTCGACAGCTAATTAATTATTCCGCCCGACGCGAGAGCGATTAAATCCGCCGAATCCAGATCATGAAGTGGCGCGACTTTCGGCTGGAACTTGCTGCTCCAGAATAATGCCGAGTTCCCCATCCCCGCGCTCCTCAGTCTTCTTAAACTCGTTTTCCGCCTGTTTCTCCCTCACCCCCCCCCCGCGCTCCCCTTTCTTTCTCTGTCATTATTCGCGAGTCTCGGGGCGTTTTTCTCGCGCGGATCGTAATAAGCGGCTCAGAAATATCACCACGCCTCGCGGTGGCCTCGCGCGCGGCTGCAACTTACATTTTATAACGCGCTCGCTCGGATGTGATATATCTCTCGTTTAAATCGAGGAGCTGAATTAACCGAGCGTAACCCGGCCGCGGAGGAGAAACGCGCGCAAAGTGAGTTATATTGCCGCGAGGATTTTCTACCGGCTGTCAGAGAATCTGAGCGTCTCCGACGCAGGCGAAGCCGGATTTTGGACTTAATTCGCCGATGTAAAAGACCTCACGGTCATCCCTCCATTATTCCGTTCTCGCGTTCGTACTTTCACGAGAGTGTGTTTCCCGTCGCACTCGCGTTTTTCCGTTTATCGCGCCCTCGTGCACCACGGAATTCACGAGGACAAGAGAAAAGAGAACGCGGTCGAGGTGGCGGCGCTTTTGAATCGCGTCGACGCGATTTCTCGCGTGCAAACAAGCGCGAATCGTCCAGTGCGTCCCCGTTCCGTCCAGCCGAACCCTCACCTCTCATCCATCCCGACCCGTCAATTGCAAACCTCCAGCCGAACGAAAAATCCGCAACAGTCTCCCCGAATCCGGCGAATCCGAAGCGCGCAACAGTCAAAGGAGTACTCGATGATGTCGCGAGAATCGCGCATCGACCGCGATCCGATCATAAAAACGATCAAGGACAACCTCCTCAGATGGACCTGCGAGCGGCACGCCGCCGACTGCCCCCTCGACAGACATCTTCTACGTGACAAAGCCTTGGAATTGGCTGGCGAATACGGACTGACCGGCACGTATCCACGAAATCTTCCTGCGTCCTTGAAGAGCTTCGGCACGAAATAACGCGTCTTGCGTCTCGGGGGTTAATGCTGCCGCCCATGAGAAGGGCAAGTCTCCCTCGTCCCCTGCGCGAAGGGATAGTCGACCCGAGGGATAACAGCTCGTCTCTCGATAGCGCCGAACGATCTCGTGGACGTTCCAGGACAATGCTTTTTGCACTTCAGGACATTTCGTATCGGCCCTTTGTACAAATCCGCCAAATAATTCAGCGGTCCTGCGTCTCCCGGTTGCGACGACTTTGAAGAACGATCGGACCTGAGGATATTCGGCGTACTGGAGAACTCGAAACAGGCCGCGCAAAATTATCAGAAGCGTTTTAAAATACCTATACCTATGTCAATTAATATATAGCATTAGGATGATTGAGAGGTCTTCTCCCATAAACACTGAATAGGTTTTGATACAAAATAGTTTTCGAAATAGAAATGTGCCGACAATTAAAATGTGTACTTTATGGGAGAAGACTTGTGGACTCGAGAAGGGAAACCTCTGCGGAATATAATGAATTTTAGTTGACATCAATTGATATTAGATTGATTCAAAAGTCTTTTCTCACAAATAGTCAACGAATCTTTCAACGGACGAAGTAGCTTTCAAACAGAAATATACGAAGAAATAAGAAATAAATTTATCACACCCGAGAAAATAAAATTATTACACTCCTGTCGGATGTAATAATTTTAGTCGATACCGCGATTAATATTACGAAGTTTACACAAAAGTGTTTCCTCAATAAACATTAAACAAGTATTAATAAAAGATAGAGCAGATCTCAAGTGGAATTATGCCGACAAATGAAACGTATATTTCGTGGAAAAAAATGTTCTCGTGTACTCGAGGAGGAAAGACTACCGTAGTCAAGCTAATTTTAATATTCTAACTTCCGGGGGGTCAGGCTTCAAATGCTCCGACAGATGGCTGATGTGTTTCTTGAGGAAGCACGGCTTTTCCCTCGACCCGAACGACTCGTCCGGGCCGATCTTCGACAACTACCGATTCTGGATCGACGCGATACGCTCCGTTATCATGCAGTACAAGCACGAAGACCTCTTCCATTTGGACGAATTAATCATGTACTCCGACGTGTCGCCCGCGGGGGTCTCGGCAGCGATGTGTCACGCGGCGCGCCAGGACGCGCCCCTGAAGAGAACGACGGTGCTGATGTGCTGTAACGCCGCCGGCACCGAGAAGTCACCGCTCTTAATCTGCGGCACTTATCCCACCGTGTTAATAGGCGAAGACCACGTGTACACTCACAGTGAGGACGCTTCGATCAGCGACGACCTCTTCAGGGAGTGGCTGAGCCGGCTGAACGATCATATGTCGCGCGGTGAACGGAAGATCCTGCTGCTGTTGCACAGGGATCGGGTGAGCGCCTTCCGAGGATTCGAGCTGAGCAACGTCCGACACATCTTCTTCCCAGAGAACTTCCCGCCGCTGCTGAGGCCCTTAAAGAGAGACGTTTTCCACTTCGTCAAGATGATCTACCGTAGCAAGTATGCTCGCGCGCGAGTGTTTCGCTGATTGCCTGACATCACGAGGAGATGCGACGATATTCACAGGCCGGTATTCATAGCCGGATCTCATGTTTAAGATATTCTCAAGTTCATTTTATGATTTTTTATGCGGACGGTCTCATAGCTGAGCATTTGAAGATGAACTTAGAACGATCTCAGATATGTGATGAAACTATGAGTACCGAATTTTGGTTGGTTATTAAGCTCGCGATAGCAGCGTGAGACGACCCTGTGGTCGTTCCAGAAGGATGCATTTTGCGCTCCAGGGCGCTTCGCGTCTACTCACGGAGAACCATTCGCGATTCGCGGGTGTTTCCTCTCAGCAAGGAAGCCGTCGGTGCTGCCGACGACTTAATTATTCCGACGATTGCGAGGAACTATCGGAAATATTTGTCGCAGGTATGTGGAGGGGATCAAGAAGCACGGGCACGGGTGGAACGTCGAGAACGTGGTGGAAAGCTTGCTGGAAGCCTGGCGGAAGGTTCCGCGCACGCTCATTATCGCCAGTTTCCAGCGGACAAGCTTCAGAACCGACGATTGCTTCCTGGAAATCCATTGTGACGCGTGGGAGGAGCTAGAGGCCGGTATGTCCTTCGAGAGATTCGTCACGTTCGACGACGATCTTTCGACGTCGCGAGAAGAGCGCCGGTCTTCTGGTCACAATTACAACTTGAGAGCCAGAGAAGACGTCATTCTAATCGACGATAAACTCGACTCGGGGAGAAAGCTTCCAGTCGAAAGAATCCACGACGAGTCACAGGCGGACGGAGACTCGAGGAGGATTCACGGGAAAGCGGACGTTCATCGGAAGAAAGGAAGAAGCTCGTTGAAGAGATCGCGCGACGAAGTTCAATCGAACGAAGACCAACGCGATGCGACGAGTAACACGAAATCGGGCGATGACAATGCGATCGCCATTCTTACTCCGGAGTCGAAGAGCAACGAACAAGAGGTTACTCTCGCTCCGTCTCCAGCGAAACGTCCGAGGATAATCAGCATCGAAACGTTCCACGTGGCGAAGAAACGGCGAATGGACTCAGCACCGGCGAGCACTCAGAGCACCGTCGTCTCCGAAGACTTCGGCCCGACTACATCGAGAATGAACGCAGATCACGTTCCTCAGTTACTCAACGTGATGGACCACCAGGAGCTGAGAAGTAGAAACATTGAGACTTCGAACGGCGGCAAACAGCGATCGATGGAGGAGTTCTCGCAGCGAGTCGATGGCTCGAACACAAGCAATCTCGCGCCGCAACAAGTGTTTGACGACATTTCCGCTGCTGATTCAGCTACGGGAAAGCTGAATACGTCGGTGGTTTCCGGAGTCAGCCCGAGAATAGAGACTGAGTTGAGCGATACTACGCCAGCGGCGAGCGAGAATCAGGACCATTCCTCGCGGCCATCTTCGAAGAGAAGACGATCGTGTTCCGTCGAAGAGCCGCAGGATCATCGTGATGACGGTGAACCGGACAGGAAAAAGTCCAGGCCCGATCCCGATTGGGCGAAGCAGTACGAGACGACGTTCGTTTTCGGCTCGCCCGACGTCGCAAGAACTGTATCCACTGCGGCCGCCGAAGACGCGCAGCAGCCAAAGCCGAGGCGACCGTGCGAGACGCAAAAGAGTGTCTTCACCATAAGACCCAGGAAGGATTAAAGAAGGGATCCGAGTGAGTGAAACATCGTTCTCACATCTCTACGATAGAAGATAAATGAAGCGGGTAAATGTGAATAATAGGGAATAACGCCATTCTTTTTCATTTAGACCGATCGTAGACCAGATCGCGGTGTAGATCGTCGAGCAAGTCCTTCCAACGGGAGTCTAACCGGAGAGGATTCAATCTTCGCGGAAGAATACGCGAAATTGATGATACCGCGAAGACGTTCGATCGTTGTGTGCGATAAATAAGTTTCCAAAGTGACACGAAGCTGTGCAAGACTGTCGTTGTAAATCTTTCATGCAATACCTCCTCCCTTCTCCACCGACTCATTAATCAATCAACGCACTCATGTAGATTATTCATGAATTATGATTGGTAACGGGGTGATCTCGGTGTCGATTATTGAGAAAAGCTTGATGGAAAGAGAGAAAGGAGAAATCCAAGCAAAAGACATTCGCATCCAGCAAATTGCGGACACAGATTTGCAACCCGATGTTCTTCGCACGGCACCTCGCAGTCTCTCGAGATATCAGCCGGAGGCGCGCCGGGCGAGCAACACGAAACTTGACTTACGGTCTAAGCGAAGGTTAATAGTTTTCCCGGTAATTCGCAAAATCGTCCCGCTCGGCGGAAAATTACGTCGTTCGTCCCGGAATCATCAATTCCAGCTGGAAGCTCTATCGCACGTTTCCGCCGGATTTCTTCTCTTCTCTCCCCACCCCCTCCCTCCTCCCACCACCAACCCCATCGCAAACCATCCTCTCTCCGCTCTCCTTTCCGTCAGCCGGATGCAATTTCTCCGGGTCGTCGTTTCCGCGACGGGGGCGAAACAAAGTTGCGGCCCTCCCGCTCGTAAGGGAGAAGTGGATCCGTAACAGGTTCCGAAGGAACGATTCCCGGACGGCCCTTGAATAATGCGACTTGTATATCGCGCCGGCGTCTCGTCGTATGTGAGTGATGCTAAAGGATTTATAGCGTGTCGCCACAGGCCTGTAATAATTCACAGTCGGCGCCGCGCCGGAGGAATCTGACGTTAGAGCGATACTTTGAATTATCTCGGTAGATGAGGGAAGAACGATGCATGACGAAAATGAAAACGAGTTTGAGATAACGAAGAACTACACTTTTTTTTTTTTTTACGCGAAAGCAGAATTTTTGCGTTCCCGAAAAATTCCCGTTTTATCCAGAAAATTCCGTTTCACGTCCAAATTTCGCTCGTCATTCGGAATATTCCAAGGGAGATTATTGCTTATCTCTGTGTAAGGAGTATTTTGTTTAAACTAAGAGAGTAATTTGCCGGATGTAAAACAAGAAGCTGGAACGATCGTAAGGACAAACGGTTTTTAACATTATTTCTTTCATTCCTGTATTTCGGTGTATTCCGCACGACGCGCGGCACACAACGTAGTCAGGTTTCCCCTTTAATTAGATTATGCGTTACGCCGTTAAATTCCCTCGTCGATGTAATTTTATTTTTGTCGCATCGCAAAGGGGCGGAACCTTTCCGGTTTTTAGCGGAGTCATAGACCGTCACAGATCCATCACCGCCTACTTGAATTTTTCACAATATCGCTGTCGCGCTGACGTAATTTGGTGATGTAAGTTACGTGAATATACCCTTCAGAAATAGAGAGGCGGCTATATATATGAAGACATGAGTTTAATACGCTCCTAGTTGTACGATACGCGGCAGACGACATCATTGCGCACAGTACGTGTCCCGGTCGGCGGACGAGATGCAATTTATCATCATGCAGCCTTAGCAGCCGTCGTCGCGCTCAACATAATCGATTTCCGTTGCGCCGTGCGCGTTATCATTCGTGGATATGAACGTCGTAGATTCTGAGTAGTATTTTCGGGACGCGGATGAATTCCCGTGCCCGGAAAGAACATTCAGGTTTGTCTTAAAGACAGTGTCCGTGGGACGTCCTGAAATTCCAAGAATTCATGAAATTGTTGGAGGAACGACTTTTACCACATCTTTAAGAGTTCTCATGTTTCGATTTGTAAAGTCATTTCTTCGGGATGTCTTAAAGAAACATCTTGCAGACTGCGACTTTCGTATTGCCTTAATGTGGATCTAGATTTGTAAAACGAGAGATTTATATTCGGGTCAAGATGTATTATCAGCATCAATATATTCAAGCCATGGTATATTATCAGCATCACAATGGACAGAATTGTCTGCGGAACTGTGCTTGCAGGTATATTAAAAATGCATGACACAGTCTATAAGGTACACTTGACTCAGTCTGGACACTCCGCATAACACAAGGGAAATACTGAACCTGAAGACATTACCGACGGAATATTGAAAATTTTCTGTAAAGTTTATCTCTTATTAGTTGCACAGAATTAAAAAAGCTTTCATACGATACGAGCAAAATATTACTTCACATACAGAACACAATGTTTCTGTTAAATTTAATGAGCATTAGATATTCGGAGAACATCCATAATTTCACTAGATGTTTATCTCTATAATGGATGTCACGTGAACATCCAATGGTCATTCATATTATATTCATTATGAATATCTGTGTAAAAACACTCCATATCATGGATGTTTCATAAAAATTCATTATATACGTGTAATGTGGAACTCTTATGTTTACTTTAAGGCATTATTTATAATTTTTATGAATATAAAAAGAATCTTAATTGGGAATGTATTGAATCATATTTAGGGATATATAACAATTTGATATATTTCTAATAAATATTTATCTTATACATTCATACTTGATAAAATTTCATATTTAATAAAAATTCATACTCGATAAAACTATTCCCAATTAACGATAAAAGTATTTATGTAAAAGGAATTATAGTATTGAGTAATATACATAATTTCCATACAGCCAGTGCAGCGTATTATATGCAAGAGGATGCATTAGCATCGTAATAGTAAAATTTTCATATGTGTAATTTGCAATTGAAATATTGCTATCTTTATGAAATTATACGATTTATTTCTCTACAAGTAATTGCTTCAGAATTAATCAGTTTAATTATATTAATTACTTTACCTATAACATACAATAAAATATATATTATGTGTAAACTAAAAAATAAAAATAGAATGATATAAAAGTGTTGGCTGGGATCATAGTATCATCTAGCAGAGTTATTAAAATATGTCTTATGTCACCGACGAGATACTATAAAGACGGTTGGCCTTACGGGATTTAGCGTACCAGAGAAATTTCGCTGTGCACTAGCGCACTCTTAGGAATATCGTGGCCGAAATATGAAACATAGCTCGAAATAAGCATGGATGGTAACAGATATGGAATAATGGAAAAAAGGTATCGGAAGATATCAAAGACTATTAATACAGAAAACAGGCCGAACATGTATATGTGTATATTTCTTAGAATTGCAAGACGTGAGAAAATTTAGAATAATTTTTATTTAGAAATTTTAGATAATTTCTACTTTAAATATATACACACGTTGGCATTCCTAAGTTAATAATTTGAAGTTGAAATAATACTAAAATTGTAATCCGAAACACATATATAGAGTGTTTCACAAATTTCTGCACATTTGAGACTCGTAATAAAATCACTTTTGGCAATACTTATATATAATTAAAATAAATATTATTATATTATATATAAGTTGCGGGAGTCTCAAGGAGCGCAGCACCCAGGCGCCATAAACTTGTCAACAGCACGTCGCCCCTGACATCATCACCGTCATTGTCCGTGTTCATTGTTGTCACTCACATAGCTGTAGCATTAGTGTAAATACTGAAAAGAGAGAATATTCGTATTATTATCGTTGGCATAGCCAGTTTCACTGGAGATTACTTTCAGTATATGTAACATTATACCTATGTTAAGAATATCATTATTATAATCAATATGTAGCTAGCTCTGCACCTACCTAAGGAGATAAATTTTTTCATTTCCATTTACATGAATGTATGTATATATAATTTACTTGTATATTGTACAATATATTTTTAAGAAAAATATAATTATTTTATGCATTCATGTGCTACATGTACATATTTTATACCTTTATATTTTTATTTATTTTATTATTTTATTTTATTAAAACAAATGTAGAAAAAAGTAATAAGGGATAATAAACAAAAAATTTAAAGTATTTTGTATTGCTGCGCTATTTCCTTCATTATTCACAATATCTATATTATCCACATGATCAACATCCACATCCACTACATCCGCATCCACATGCACAGCATCCACATTCCCATCCATATATATTTTTCATTTCTTTATTCTGGAATCTTGTACAACATTCTAGAAACTTCTAGAACGTTCCAGAATCTTCTAGAATATTCCGAAATATTCTGGAAACCTGCGCAACATTCTAGAAGTTGACAACATTCTAGAACGAGGCTGCGGGGCAGCGGCGCCGGCGCGAGGCGACCGAGCCGAGCGACGGCGCCGCTGCTGCGCAGCCTCATTAGTTTTGCTACCAGCCGCGGGGCGGCGTCGCCGTCGCTCGGCTCGGTCGCCTCGCGCCGGCGCCGCTGCCACGCGGCCTTATTAGCCTTGCTATCAGCCGCGCGTCAGCGTCGCCGTCACACGGCTCAGTCGCCTCGCGCCAGCGCCGCTGCCGCGCGGCATCATTAGCTTTGCTACCAGCCGCGCGGCCTCATTAGCTTTGCTACCAGCCATGGGGCAGCGTCGCCGTCGCTCGGCTCGGTCGCCTTGCGTCGGCGCCGCTGCACCGCGGCGTCATTAGCAGTGCTACCAGCCGCGGGACAGCGTCGCTGCCGCCATCATTTTTGTACCATACCATATACCATATATGGTTGATGGACCATCATTTTTGTACCATACCATATACCATACATGGACGATGGACCACGATTTTTGTACCGTACCATATACCATACATGGTCGATGGGATTATCATTTGTATCATACCATATACCATACATGGTCGATGGACCATCATTTTTGTACCATACCATGTACCATACATGGTCGATAGGACCATCATTTTGTACCATACTATATACCATACATGGTCGATGGACCATCATTTTTGTACCATTACATTACTGATGTACATTAACAAATATATACGATAAACAATTTTATAGCTTGCAATGTATTTTATAACTTTGTACTTAGGTCTTTTAAATAAATAACTTTTAAATAAATTGTAATTTTATTACATCACATTTGTAATATATTCTACCAATGGTATTGATAGCTTTTGCGTACACCACGTGATCGGGTAAAATAGATTGTAAATATTATATTTTTAAAAGCGCGACGTATATCAACAAATATATACGATAAACAATTTTATAGCTTGCGAAGTATTTCATAACTTTGTATTTAAGAATTTTAAATAAATAACATTGTAATTTTATTATATTACATTTGTAATATGTAAAAGTATGTAGTTCTTAAATAAAATAAACACAATATTTATTATTCAAACACGTGTTTGTTATTGCATTCCTTTTAATTAATATCCTTTGTTTAGTAAATATCCTTAATCATACTTAAAAAAAGAAATATTCCTGAGTTCTTCTAGCCATTACCGCGCACATTATATTCTCTTGTTACAAAATCGAGAAATTGGAGAATTCCAGTTTTCCGCATTTTCGAGTTTCCGTAATAGGGAAGCATAATAACCGAAGAGGTATTCGAACGACTTCCTCACTCATTATATTCTCCTGTTACAAAATCGAGAAATTGGAGAATTTCAGATTTCCGCATTTTCGAGTTTTGGTAATAGGGAAGCATAATAACCGAAGAGGTATTCGAGCAAGTTCCTCACTCATTATATTCTCCTGTTACAAAATCGAGAAATTATAGAATTTCAGTTTTCCGCATTTTCGAGTTTTGGTAATAGGGAAGTATAATAACCGAAGAGGTATTCGAACGACTTCCTCACTCATTATATTCTCCTGTTAGAAAATCGAGAAATTATAGAATTTCAGTTTTCCGCATTTTCGAGTTTTGGTAATAGGGAAGCATAATAACCGAAGAGGTATTCGAACGGCTTCCTCACTCATTATATTCTCCTGTTACAAAATCGAGAAATCGGAGAAATCTCAGTTTTCTGCATTTTCGAG